ATAAAATGACATTGAGAATAGTTATTTAAACAATCTTATTAAAATTATTGAACAGGTATGACAAGATTACTTTCTTAATGTCCTAGTGTGAGGAAGATGTAAGCCATTTGTCCAAAGATAATCATATGCCTTATGCCCATACAAATGCAGTGTCAACGCGAATAATTTTTGATCAGAGTCATATGTTCTAATTTTTTTAAACTTTTCCAGAAATTTTTCTGTTAATTTATTTGTTACATTAAATACTTGATGTGTATTTCATATAAAAACTTGATTATGCCAATTTAGTTAACTTGTTAAGCATTAATATAAAATTGACTCTACTTGTAATGGTGATTGGTATGATGATGATGATCCCAGTCCTAAGCAGGGTTTATTATTCACAATGTCATTATGCCCTTTCTAAGTTTTAATAAAATACATGGAATATTGTTGAATGCATTTTATATTTTTTGTATAGATAAGAATGTTGCAATGTACAATGATGATGTGAATTGCTTCCTTGTGTAACTGATGACATAAATATAACTAACTTGAACACATGGGAATGCTTTCTTCAGCATTACCTTCCTTTCTCCATCATAACCCTTATACTCTTTATTACAGAAATGGTCACTGCATATTCTTGCATTTTTTGATGGAAGCCATTTGAAATCATTTATTTCCTGTCAGATGCACTTAATCCAATCGTTTTGCATTTTTACATTTTGAGGAAATCTGAAATTTTATAAACTGTTACAGAAACTTGTGCATTTCTTAAGTATTGCTTTTATTATTAATGATAGCATTATAAATTATAATAGTCTATAAAATAAAATATATGTAATTGTAAAACAAAATAGTTCTATTCAATGAGTATAGGGATATTGTTACATTTATTTTAGTGTTAAGTTAATTTTTGAAAATAAACCTGTGAAAAGATGCATCAGAAATCTTCTCATTTCTATTTTATTTATTTTTAATGCAACAGGCAGGCATGTTTGTGTATAGCTACGAAAATGAAAATTTACTTAAAAACTAAATTATTTTATCTGACACGAAAATTAGTACAGAAACAAAAACGAAAGAATAAATGACAATATAAAAATTTAAACATTGATTGAAAGAGTTTATTCTAATTAGGGGAGATGGGGGCACATTGATCTGTTTTGAGGTTTTTTTGTAACAACAGTGAAACTAACCAAAAAGTGAATATTAATATTTGTGCAATTTACAGAGGAACATTCATTTAATGTATTAAGTTCAGT